CAGCAAGGTGCTGTCGATCGAGCAGTCGAGCAGGAGGGCAGTCGTTCGAGAGGGAAATCGAGGGATCGAGAGGAKCTATGAATTGAAGAAAGGGATCGATAGAGGCTGTGGGAGAAAGRGGACAGCAAAGGGGYTGTCATCGAGCAGCMRAGAAAAAGAAGAAGCTGTGTAAAAGGGGCTGTCGCGAAGGAAATTCAGAGAGGGGAGAAGCAGCAGCCGACTGTCGTTTGAGAGAAAAAGAGACTACAAGGGCTGTCAATATAGAGGCTGTGATAGAGGCGGAGCAGTCGATCGAGGACAGGTACGAACCAAAATTCGAAAAGCAACAGTAAACAAATTTTAGAAGTCGATTTTGGATTTCTTAAATTAAGGTTCTTCCTAGTCTATTGTTTTCTCCCAAGTTCAATTTCTGATTCAAAATAGAATTATGAGTTGCTAGTTTCCTATTTCTAGTGATGAGATTATAGTTAGTTTGAATTGAACTTTGTTGAGACTTGTTTAACATTGAGCCTTAATTGAATTTTATTTGCACAATTCTTGTTCAGAGTCGTTCTTTCATTTTTGGGATTTTGGTTTTGAGAAGGATCCCTTGAATCCTTTAGCCTAAATTTGAATTGCTAGTTGTGATTAGGAATCCGTAATTGTTCTTAATTACCACTTGGTAGCAAATAGTGCATCAATAGACAATCAGGTTTATTGGGTTGCATTATAGGACTGTGTAATCTAGCTTAAATGTTCGGGCGTCCGTTCATTAGTTAGGATTGGTGCTTGTTTATTGCGTAAGGCGATTGGTAGGTTGAATTTTACGTCCGTGACTAGAATCAACTTAATCAATTAGGAACTAATCTATCGAGCTTCTCGTGTTAGTTTAATTATAAGGACAAGCGGAGTGTTTGACGCGTGTCGACACTCACGRCCRGTCTAAAATCTATTAAGAAAATGTTTTTATMCAAGTCAATGATACATGATTTGATAAAGAACTAGTTATACTCATCACTAKAATTTATTCATTATTRTTTAAGTTCTCAATTTATTTTGCATATTTAGGCTGTTTATAAATCATCCAACCCCCCCCCCCTTCTTTTATAGATAGTGTTTTATTAATGAATTTGCATGAGATTACGTCTTGGACTTACGGTTAACACCGAGTCCCTGAGGAGACGACCCTACTTATCGCTATCAGAAGTTGTGTTTTAGAGATAATAGGCTGATTTTCATAAATTTTATTATTTGTCGGACTCGACACCCGTCAACTACAACTAAACCCTAATCTAAGCACAACCCTAAATCTAATCTTACGCTGCGTCCTATTGTGAGTTGATCGGGTTTCGGGTGGTGGGTTGTGAGACCCTACCCGATCCGCCATACCCCAGATATATGTCGGATTCGGATATCGGGTGGTTTCGGGTCTGTTTTTGTCAGTTCGGATCGGGTTAAATCGGTCGGGTAGTTCGGGTATATCGGGTTGGGCGGGTTTTTGCACAGCCCTACTTCCAATGCGGGATAACTTCACCAACATTTCTATATTTTTTGTCTCTTTTAATTAAAAAAGTTACGGATATAGTTTTTATAATTAAAAATGCACAATATTGTTCAAATATCTAAAAATATAATTTATTACATTATATTGTACATATTATATTATAAAGCTGATTATATTTTTAAAACTAATTATATATAAAAAAATCGAGTATCTCACGAGTTTTTCAAGTCGAGTGCTCGGTAGCTCAACTTGACTTGTTAATATGTCGAATCGAGTTCAAGTTTGAGTCGATTATATTCGAGTCGAATGTTGACCAATTTTTTACCGAGTCGATCTCGAATAACTCACAAATTACCTGGTATTATTTACACCCCTAGTCATTCCTATATGCACCATAATTTTTAAATATTTATTTATTTACTGTTTTTTATATTTGGCATTAAAAATTATTATTTTTACCATTTGATATAAAGCGTATTAACTACGATAATGGAGTTGGAAGATGATTTGTTGGATTGTTTTGGAGGGATTTGGATTTTATAAAAGGATTTGGATTGAAAAATTAACTCAAACACCCATTCAAATTGATCTCTTAGCTATTGATTTCTCGGGTTTATCCAATTATCACTTTGTTTGCAATATCCACATCTTCAATATTTACCAAAATGTCACTACGTCCGTAATATTGTGGACCTGACTAAAAGACAAAATAAAAATCAAATTCCACCAGGTTAACAAGTGGTACTGTCGCAATTATATTTTAGATTTTATATATTTAATAACAAAGTAATTTATTTTTGATTTAACAATATAATTTTGTATAAAAATAATAATTAAACGTTATGTTAGACCTTAATCAATATCTTAATTATATTTTAAATTTTCTATATTTAAAATGGATGTTTATCTTATATTTGATTATGTTTATATGCAGTTAGTTACACGAATATAAGAATGAAGATTTAATAAGTTGCACTTACATAAAATTACTTGTAATCTTGAATTTTAAGTAATATAAATCAATAAACAGTACTTCATATATAAAGTATAGTTTTTAAAATTTTTTATCAAATATTTTATAATATAGTATAGATTAGTTTAGTTAAGGGGTTGATATTGATACCCCCTACGTCACTTTTTCACCCCCTTTCCCTCACATACTCTTCTCCTCACATACTCACCCCCTCACATTCAACCCAATTTTTTTAAATTAAAATATTAAATTTACATTTTATACCCCTATAATTAGTTAATTAATTTACTTTACGTTATTTACTTTTAAATTTTTCATTTTATACCTTTATCAAATTAACATATATAATCGTATATCAATTAAAATATATTTAAAAAATACATTTTTATTTTAACAAGTTACACCATTATAATCGTTTCGTTAATTCCTTCGAAATGAGTCTAATATTGAATAGTTTTTTACTTAATTATATTATTATATATTATATATTGTGAAAAAATATTTTTAATATTTACGATTTACAATTTTATAGTTATTTATTTAATTTATGATACATCATTTATTTTTAAAATTATACTTTATATTTTGTAGTTACTTAATTAATTTATTTTTACACTTTTATCACATTAACATACATAAACGTATATCTATACTATATTATAAAGCATTTGACAAAAACTATTAAAAACCATTTTTTATGTGTAAACCCAATATCGAACATATTGAACATCGTTTTATCTAATTATGGAACTGTAATTATATAAATATTATAAGGGTATAAAATAAAAATAAAAAAGTAAATAAATATAATAAATTTTTATAAAGATATAAAGTATAATATTGAAAAAAATTCATATACAAATATATAATTTAAAAAATACATATTTTTAATACATCATTAATTAGTATTAATATAAAGTTAATTAATTTATATAATTATTAAAAAAACATATATCCTTAATACTTTATTAATTAATAATAATATGTAATTATACTATTATAGTATAGATTAAAAATAAAAAAAAACATAAAAGATATAAAAAAAGTATTTAAAAAGTTAAAAGGTTAAAATAAAAAATATAAAGGATTAAAAATGAAAAATAAAATAAATTTATTTTAATGTTTGAAGTAGGTTAGGGTATGGAAACAATAGGGAAAAAAAATAGAAGGGGTGGGGATAGAAAGCCCCTTAGTTAATCATTAGTTTAAATCTTTGACTAGAGATATGTGTGTCATTGTTAAATCACATCAGCACTTCCATTTTCAAACTTATTCTATAATTAAATATATATTTTCCAAAATAAGTTCTCATGCTTCCAAAGTATTAATTACTTTAAATTCATCATAACTTAAAACTAAATATTATCTAATAAAAACTTTTTAATTATTTTAACCAAAAGGTCATCACTAAACATCTTCAAACCCATGATAGGAATCAAACACTCTCATCACTTTTTTTTTATTAAGCTGGATATCTAACCCGTTCCGTTATGCGAGCCGACTAATCCCAAGACGACCATCTGTTTTGTAAATAGTAGGGGTGAACACGGGTTGGGTTGGGCGGTTTATGACATTTTTACAACCCAACCCAATTATGACAGTTAGGGAAATCTCAACTCAGCCCAACCCATTCAAAAGTATAACCCAACCCCTTGCGGGTTAGGACGGGTTGAGTTGGGTTGACGGGTTACTAAAACTCATAAATTTGACAAATGAAATATGATAAATAATACTAAAAATATATTCAACAAAGTCATTAGTTATTACAATCATCCAAAAATATATCTAAAGACTAAATCCTCAAGTCTTGAAATCAATTTTCAAAAGTTTGATACGAGCAACAAACTTCCTATTTCTATCTGGTCAATTTCTAGTTACGCCCTTTTTAGCTGGTGGACGCTGCGAGTATTCAGGAAAGAGGCATCGACAGACTCGGCACGTCAAGGACGGAGGGTTGACGGTCAAGCAAATTGGCTAAGGCCGTAAAGGACGGACCGACGGAGGGTTTGTTGTGGAATGAAGGAATCTTTGAAAATTGAAATTGTGAATTGTGAATTTGTGATGGAGAAGAAACTCAGAAAGACATAACTTGAAGCAGGGACGTAGGGTTAGCCGGTTAGTGTTTCTAATTTCTATTTTTGCTGGATTAACATATAAGAGGTTAAGGGCTTAAGGGGCTAAGGCCTTAAGGGTTATTGGGCTAAGGCCTTAAGACTAAATTCCTAAACACCTCCTTAATTTTTGTAAATATCTCTCACACACACACATATATATATATATATATATATATATATACACATAATTTTATAAAGAAATATATATACATTAGCAGCAGGTTGGCGGTTTGGATTGGGTAAAGTTATGCTAACCCAATTTCAACCCTCCTAATTAGCGATTAGGCGGTTTGGCAGTTTGACGGCTTGTGTTTAATTGAGTTGTTAGCGGATTAGGTTGGGCGGATTTCACGGATTGACGGTTTTTTGTTCACCCCTAGCAGATAGTCCGAAATCACCGCATTTGAACCTCTTTGGAGAATTGGAGTTAAGTAGATAATAAAAGATCACATGAAATTGAACAGTGACCCAAACAACACACTATATGAACCACTCATCCTAACAATACACTATAATGTATGTATGTATGTATGTATACTCACTGTAATTCTTCCTCCTATGGCAGAAGTTGGAAGTGCCATGAATCCAATGAGGTGGGATATCTAGGGTGTGGTTTCCTCACATTTGATGCAGCCTTAACCACACCACCATCACCATCACCACCGCCACCTTGGAAGTTAAGACAAGCTGGGAAGACAAAAACAGGATTTACAATTGGACTATCCTCCATCAAACACTGTTGTTCTTGGGATTCTATAGGGGGTGCATTCAGGTCCAGCTTCTTTTCCTCTTTTACGGTCAACCTCCTCTTCAATTCGCCAATCTGGATTTGTAGACCACAAGTTTCATCTTCAATCTCATTCTTCTCCAATTTCACCTGTTCATCAAACCTATTTCCATCACTTAACAACAACCACATACTCTGAATCCATACACACAAAAGGGTCAATTTCTTACGTATTGTGACTCCGACAATAAAGCTGCATTCTCTTTTTTGAGGCTCTTGATCTGATCAAGCATCACCTTTATAAAACGAGTAGTTTCGCCAAGGATAGAGGCTTTTCCGCTGTTTTGTTCTCCCACTTCTGCAACAAAATCCTTCACACGTGAGTTAATACGTTCCTTGACCATTTGCATTTAAGCAAAAGGAACGTATTTGCATAACACCATGTTTAGTAATCCAAATGTTAGGAACTTGTTTCTACAGCAAACAAATTACTTTTTTTTGGTAAAAATTGCTATCAACTGAAAACTCGTTTGCTTCAAAACAAACACAGATAGCAACAACGCGATAAACAGTAATAAGAAATTACCAAGTGCTTCAGCTAATTTCAGGAAGAGTTCATTCAGATGTTCACGCTTCATTTTCTCCCTTTCAGCCTTGTGGATTCTTTTAGGAACTTTACCCAGATTCTTCTTGCTAGGAAGCAAGCTGCATAAAGAACATCCATTATTATTTAAACGAAGACGATTGTGTCCATTTCGACACATACATTGATACAAACGGATACATACTATTGGACTTGATAAATTAAAGGATCTATTCACATATGAATCAGTGAATTAGACCATATGTGAATCACACGGGTTCATATGTGAATCAGTTAATTATTTCATACGTGAATCACAAGGATTCATATGTGAATCAGTTAATTAGTTCATATGTAAATCACACGGGTTTATATGTAACAAAGATTACATAAGTTTGAAATCAGTAGAACCACTTCCTTGAAGGTTATTTCTGCACCTATCTTATCTATCCCTGCAGCATGTTAAACCATGGATGCATTTGGTTATAACATTGTAGGCTTATAAGTTATAAGATGATTCACCACGGTATATATACACAACTATGAACTACATAAGAATCCAAGACAATACTAACTTTTTCATGTAAAATGCTTAACAAACTACAAGTGCAGCGTAAAATCACCAACCTCGTCGGCGAGTTCTTCGCTCCCATCCCAACTATGTTAGTTTTTGAAGCAATAATACGATCCTCCGATTAATCAATGCTCAGATGCTTATTCCCTTCTGGTCTTTAGCAGAACCCTGAACTACTAAACACAAACAAAGGGGTAAATGCACTTAATTGAGGCACTTCTTTGTTGAACATATCATTTGACAAATTTCAAGCACATATAACAACAATTGACCACATATCTTAGAACATAAGTAACCAATATGGCTCCTAAGATGGACAGAACAGTGCAATCCAACTCCCATTTAGAAGTTATGGCTGCAAAATCTTGGACTTGGTCAGAAGGAAAGATTTAGACTTTGAATTGAATAGATGATCTTCTAGATGATGAAAAGTCAAACTCATAAATCTTGCAGGAACTTATACGAAAAGACGTAACCTTTTAAAGTTGAAGAACAAGATCGTATCTCACCAAGTTTCATAATTAACTCCAGTCAAATTTACACAGCAAACATAAACCCTAGATTTCAGGGGTATAAACCATTCAAAACCAAACCTCTGTGTCGGATGTCAACTTAGGTCAAGCAAATACAGAGATTAGGAAGTAAAACAATCATGAAATCATTAAAGAACGAAAGCAGAAAGAAACAGAAGAAGAAAACCATTAACCATGAGACTTTTTATGTGTCTAAAAGCAGTATGCAAGCAGCTATAAAATACCTTTGTGTACTTGTGAGAGAGACGCCGTGACGCACCACCGTAGAAAGGGAGAAGGGGCGGCGTGTGGCGGGAGAAAAGAATGATTTCGCAGAGGTGAAGAGGAGTGTGGCCGGCAGGTACCTTTCTTGGAGGATTCCATCGAGTTTTATTCCCTTTTCTCAGCCTACAATTTGGCCATTCCATTAGCGTGGCCTTGATTTATTATTATTATTATTTTGATTAAATTGGATATCCAACCCGTTATGTAAGCTGACTTTTCAGAGCGATCATTTGTTTTGCAGATAATCCGAAGTCATCGTATTGAACCTTCGTAGTCAAAAAGAGATTTTTATTCCTTCTTAAATTTGAACCTGAAACCTTCTGATATCTTTAAGTTTTTCGTTTTATTGAACTTATTTTACCAAGTATTTATGTAAAAAAAAATTATATCTATAAATATTTAAATACAAATTACTAATATGTTAAAATTTATTGTTTTTTAAAGGGTTTCTCAAGCTATACATGGACTAATATTGGTAAACTATGATTGCAATAAATCAATTCTAATAAACTCGGTGACTGCACTTATTGTGTACACCTGAAATCGAACTCCGAACATATGAGATATTCTACCACGTCTCTCGATACCTCAACCACTACGTCACAACCGTTATGATTTTAAAATTTATTGTTTGGTAAAAGAAGGCAACAAAATAACAGTAAACGCCTAGGACTGTAAAAATAGTTCAAGAATTCGGTTTCAAATAGTCCGTACTGAATGTATACTGAGGTTTTTTCTCTGAAGGTCGATGTTTTAAAAAAAATTCAAAAACAACAAACAACTGTAAACCCTAGGGACAAAAACAACTAAAAAATGTAAATCATAATGATGAAAACAAAAATAAATTGTAAAAAATGGATGAAAATCATAATTTCAAAAGTAGAGAGATAAAAATAGCAATTTTCAACAAACCACAAAGACAAAAAAAAACGTAATTTACCCTAAATCATTTTACCTTTACTATTTGATTTTTGTTTGTTTTCCATTAAACTCAAATGTGCTTTATATGGTCTAGAGGTGAAGTTTCAACTTTGTTACTAACGTTGACAATATTTAGGGAGCATTCTTGTAATTTTTGTTTTGAACATGTTTTATATGTGGAACAGATGAATTAATTATGGCAAGACTGAACTCTCTCTCCATCAAATCGAGAGAGATAGAAAGAGCGTATAATAAGGGACCTACGACGGATGAGAAAGGAATTGAAGGCAAAGACGACGACAAAGAACATAGTGTACGATGGAAAGATGGGTTAGGTATTATTGAGAGACGGGATTTTGAGATAATGGCATGATATAGAAAATTTGTGGCTTAATGGATTAATATTACCCGATGTGGCATGCTAATAAAGACATCACCTTAATGAATAAATCACATACAAACATCCATGGATGATTGGTCGATTAAGTCTTACAAATCACTAAGCTTATTAAGGACATGTTACTCAGCAACTTAATGAGCTCAATGGGATTCACAACTTATTCGATCAATTATAAACTTTTTCAGACAAATCACCATACAAAAAAGCATTATTGACATCTGGTTGAAATAAAGACCAATTATATTGAACAACAAGAGCAACAATGCATCTGACAGTTACCATTTTCACAACAGGAGAAAAAGTTTCTTCATAATTAAGACCTTCTCTTTGACTATAACTTTTAGCAACTAAACGAACCTTGTATCTTTCTATTTCCCCACAAGATTTATACTTTATTTTTATAAATCCATTTACACCATTTTGGTTTTCTTCCTATAGGTAAATCGGTGATAATCAAAGTCCCATTTATATAGAGAGCTTCCATTTTATCATTTGTGGCACTAACCCAATTTTTATCATTACAAGCTTCTGAAATATTCTTTGGTTCAATAGATTTGTTCAAATTCGACACAAGACAAAAAGTTTCAGAATTCAGGTAAGAGTAATTCACAACTCTTTCTAAGCCATACTTAACTTTGCCTTCTATGACAAAGTAATCAAATTTTTGAGGAAAATTGGAAACTCTAGTCATTTTTCTATTAGTTCCATGATTATTGGAACTAGAAGCGATACCCTCAGGATGGAGATCAGTAATTTCAACACTATTGTCACCTTGGTGAACATCCAAAGATTGGACACCAGACTCAATATTATCCCTGGCAGCCACCTCTGAGCTACTTAGTTGTTGCAAGCTGGCAACTCCTTGAGAGTTTTCAGCAAGGACATTTATGCTACCTAGTTGCTGTCTACTGGAAGCTCTATATGGGTTACTACTAAGAGAAGATGCCTGGTTAACTTCATCCTGAGGAGGTTGATCTCAAACCTCATCATTGGGAGGTAAATCAGTGAGATTAGTAGGTGAACGAAAGGGAGAATCAAAGAAATTAAGAGAATTTACTTCACTAGTTGTAAGGTAATCCAACTGGTTTGAACTCATTTTAAAAGGAAAATCAATCTCATAAAACTTAGCATCACGAGAAACAACTATCTTATTCGTATCAAGACTAAATAACTTATATCCTTTTTGGGAATTAGCATACCCTAACAGAACACACTTTCCAGCTTTAGAGGAAAACTTATCAATGACATTGGTTTTAGATGCAAAATAAAGACAGCCAAAATTTCTTAAATGAGTCAGAACAGGTTGAAATCTATACACTAGTTCATAAGGACACTTTCCTGCTAAGACAGAGGAAGGTGTTCTATTTATAAGATAAGTGGCAGTTAGAATGCACTCACTCCACATGTTTAAAGGTATAACAGCCTGAAACATGAGAGCTCTAGCCACATTTAGTAAAAGACGATGTTTGCATTCCACTATCCCATTTTGTTATGGAGTGTGAACACAAGATGTGTGATGAACAATACCTTTAGTTTTAAAAAACTCACCTAATGCCAAATTAGTAAATTCAGTTCCATTATCACTTCTAAACACCTTAAAAGGTTTGCCAAATTGAGTTCCTAGCAAGTTATAAAATAACACAACATTATTCATAACTTCATGCTTGCCTTTCAACAAATAAACCCAAACATCATAGATATAATCATCCACAACAGTTAAAAAATACTTAAACCTTCCCGACTGGTCACACGATATGGACCCCAAACATCTAAATGAACAAGTTCACCAAGACATTTGTATTTATGATCACTCAAGGAAAACCTTTCCCTAGTTTGTTTTGCCATGTGACAGATTTCACATAGACTTATCTTGTCATTCCCAAGTTTAAGTTGTTCTTTTAAAACAAGAAGAACTTGGTTAGAGAGATGACCAAGACGGTTGTGCCATAACTGACTAAAAACAAAGTTTGGAACAATAGAAAAGGTTGAGACATAAGGTAACTTACTCTTATTATTTTGATCACAAAAATATAAACCACCTTCTTTTGATGAGAATCATGAATATAACATCGAGACTCATCAAATCCTACAAACAGTTTATTATCTTTTAGCAAATTTGTGAACAAACAAAAGATTGCCATTAAAGTCTGGAACCACCAAGACATCAAATAAAGTAACATTGTTTGACAGTTTTAAGTTTTCAATTTTGTTAATCTTTGTCTGGGTTCCATTAGGATGATTTACCTTCAAATTTAAATCATATATGTCAACAACATTGTACAAATTTGAAAAATTGGATGTCATGTGTTGGTTGGCACCAGAATCAATAATCCATCCAGACTTATAAAATTGAGACAAACATGCCATATTAGCAGTAGCTGACTCTTGAGAGTTCTTTTGATCCAATAGGGCAAGAATTTTAGTAATTTATTCTTCTAAAAATGGAGAGGTGGATGGAAGAGGAACTTTATCACTTATATGGGAGTCTGTTACACAAGCATTACTAGACATAAATTTTAAAACCTTGAGCTGAGGGTCTACTTGGTCTATTATTTTGAAAATCTTTTGGGAAGCCAATAAGTTTGAAACATCTTTCAATTGTGTGTTCAGAAATACCACAATATTTACACAATAAATTTGACACTCTACCTGTCCTTTTCTTATTCTCAATAATCTTGCTAAAAAAGGCATAGTTTTGGCTTTTATTGCTAGAGGAGACACCAGAACCCCCAAGATGGGACTCTTCCCTATAAATGAGAGAAAAAATAGTTTTAACATAGGGAAGGGGGACCCTTAAAAGAATGTTACTCCTTATAGGTTAATAAACAATATCAAGACCCATTAAAAACTGCATTAGTTTTATTAATTGAGAGTGCTTAAAAGAGTCAAGAGAAACATTACAAATGCAAGTAGGAAGAGTGATAAGAGCATCAAATTGCTTCCATAAGAAGTTGAGCTTGTGATAATATTCAGAAACTGTACACCCTTTTTAACTCAAACAATTGATTTTTTTGATAAAGATTAAAAGTGACGGAACCATCAACCTTATCATAGGTTTCTTTCAGTTCCTCACAAACCTTGGAGGAATCTTTTGAGAAAACTTGTCCCAATAATAGATCTACTTAGTGAGAGAACCTAGAATCCAACTTAGAACTACAAAATTACATATGTCCCATTGTTTTTGAAGAACATGATCATTTATTGGTCTAATACAGGATCCATCGATAAACCCAAGTTTGTTATTGGTTTCAAGAGCAAGGTCATAACACAAGCCCATATTCTATAAATTTCAGTTCCATTTAACTTGAGATTTAAAATAGGTGTTCCACTGGTGTCACTGGAATGCAAATACAGGGGATCCCCAAAGTCTAATTTAGCAATTTGGGATACAATGAATGATATTACCCGAAGCAACCATAAAGAAAAAGAACAAACAACAACACAAGGGTGAATAGGATAACAAGAACCAGAATTTCTAAAACACTCGAGGTTCTAGATCAAGCCAACTATCCAGTCACACAAACAGAAACAAAGAATAAGCAAAGAACAGACAAGAGGTTGACAAGATAGCAAAAAGGAAGGATTCCTAAAACACTCAAAGGTGCTAAATCAAGCGAACTATCGAGTCACACAAAACACCCTTAAGAGAAAAAAAGTAGAAACCTGCCTATAGGCCAAGGTCACTGATTCAATGGCCTTGATACCAACATGTAAGAAAAGAAGAATTATAGATATGCGAGAGCAAGAACCAGAGAAGAGAACA